ACATACTGTACATTTTCATTGATTTTTAACGTATTGTATTTTGCAGTCTCCGTGCAAGTTATCATTAGTAAATCTTAATTTTCTTTATGTACAGCTAATTGAGAATACCTTTTAGTGGTTGTTGTATTTTTATTATTATGATATATATCATATTTCTTCATTTACTTTAGCTTTTAATGCTTAAGTTCTGAAAATTTTAAAAATATTTGTATATTTTCCCCCTTTCCATCATATATATTTTTTCCCTCTGAGGGTTTGTTTATTGGTAAACTGTATTCTATTCCTTTGATTATTTTTATTTTTGTTCAGTATATTAAATTTGTTGTATAATCAAATTTAATATACTGAACAAAAATTTTTATTTGTATTTTTCCATTTTGTATTAGCATTTCATCTATTTCATTTTGCCTTGTATTTATTAATTGATATATATCTTGTGCAGATTCTTCATTAAGCTACCTGGATGTGGCCGGTGTTCTCCCACTTAAGAAACTTTCAAAGCTTGCGATTTCACTTTATTTCTATTATTTACGTTCCAGTTCATCGTAGCCTTATCTACTGCTGATGTGTTCGATCTATGAAAATCTGGTTCTTTTGTTTGCTCTCTTCTTCCTTCCTTTCTTATTCAAAATCTCTCTTTCACAACTGTAGTCAAGACTCATTCAGGTGAGATGTCCCTGGTGTTTGTTTTTACAAGATAAACGAGCTGGACACATCATGCTTTGTGTGTATTCATGGCTTTAGTACCATCAATTCGCTTCTTATTTTGGACTGAGAATTAAGTCAGAAGAAGTTTATTTTGAAGTGTGTGTACTATGGATATAGGGTACCATGAATTTTCAGAACCATGCAGAAAGAAAATACTTGTAGCTACACAGCAAAATTTAAATTAAAAGGTTTGAAATTCATTGAAGTTAACCCTCTGAGCAGCTTGGTCTTTTGAACTTGTCCTGAAGACCTGTGTCTAAACAGCCTTTATTAGCTAACTTTGTATATTTACCTATTTTATTTTCTATTTTTATAAACTTAGATTCATCAAAATGACATTTATATTATTCATGAAAGTAAGAAAGAAAAATATCTGAAACTTATAAGCTAATATATACCAAGTAACAAAAAATCTCATGACCGGATAAAGCCGGCCATTGCTTAAAGGGTTAATGGTGTTAAAACTGCTGTTAGGACAGTTTGGCGTTGAACCTACTTTCATTCGTTACTGGAGAAAACAAAAGCATGAAAAACAAATTCAAAGCAAGAAGCGTTTTGAAACAAATTTCCAGAAACTGATACTGAAGTGCTGGATTATGGGACAGAGCAAAGAAACAATCGCATAGCCATGTTGCATGAAATGATACAAATGAAAGTGCACGATGAAGTGGAAAAATGTGATAATACAGCCCAACAGTTTAAAGTGAGGAGAAGATGGATTGATCGCTTCAAGAGAAGAAATGGAAGGAGAAGAGCAACGCTTGCACGAAGGCTACTAGAGGCCTATCAAGAAAAGGTGTTAGAATTTCATAGGTTTATTAGATCCAGCAGAGAAAAACTTAAGATTACAATGCACCTAATAATACTACAGTTAATTAAAAGGGGGCATCTCCAGTGTTAGTAAAAACTACAGGAGCTACTGACCTGCTGACAATAAAAATTGCCAACTTTTGCAGTTCTTAAATGGAAGACAATATCAACCAAAATCTACTTCATGCTATCATAGGGTATATGAAAGAGGTTGGATATTGCCTGACTTAATGGAAGAGTGGCTCACAATTGCTCTTCAACATCAGAAATCACTATTGGTCTTGGACAATTTCTGGGGACATCTTATAGAAGATGTACAAAAACAAATGGAACTGAACAAATACTGTTCCTGTCGTCATTCTAGAATCTACATTGCATCTGCAACCACTGGTCTTACCAATGAATAAATCACACAAAGATTATTACCGATAATTTAATTTTAGAATGCGTAGATATAAGCAGGGTCATGCAAATTTACTAATGTCGGAAAAACCCATCCATTGAATTGATTGGTTGTTCACTGGGTACATAGGCTCTGACTGATAAAGCAAGAATAGTGAACAGCCACAAGAAGACAGTGATATTTAATGTTCTTAATGGGGATCTAAAGATGGGACACTATGCATGGGAAGACAAACTTAATTGTGCTGACTTGCAAACTGTAGCAAACAATGCAGACAGCAGCATTGAATGACTACAGACTTACAGAGTAGCAGTGGACAACAACAGGAATCAGTAAGATTCAAGCAACAGGGATGTAAAAATATGAAAATATCTTTAGATACTTCACTGCCTGCCTACCTAGGATCTCCTACTCCACTTCCCTGACATGCATATGGGAAAGAAAGGAAGAACAGAAAATATGCCTCTTTTGAGATAATTTCTTTTGGAAGAAGGCTACAGATAAAATTCAACACTTTTCTTCACCCTCCTTATATATATATATACGGTTTCTCTCAAAAGTAATGAGAAAATGCAAAGGAAGGAAAGAAAAATGTGTGTCTACGGCATAGGGACCCAGGTATGCAGTTTGGCATTTTCTATCTGAGTCTGAACATTTCTACCCAAGAGCAGAAGGCACAGTAGATTTCATATCCTATCGAGCAAAAATGCAGATGCATCTCAAGCAGCATTATACAATTATGTTTCATATGAACCTCAGAAAGTCCGGAGTTCTAAAATACTATAGTTGTTGAGGACAGCTTAAAAAGTGCTTTTTTTCCATTTTTCCCCCCTTCAGCTCAAGTGGCACAAGGCATTTATGGATGGAAGGGAAAGCAATGAGTACAAAGAACACAAAGATGGCACCCTTCCTGAGTCAGAAATATGCTCTACTTATGGTCCTAAATTTGTTTAAGTGTGTGCACGATGAGAAATGATACAAGAAATCGGATCGCAGATAGATTAGATTGAATTTTTGATATGGATCATCAATTTAAATCTGGTAAGATGGCATGCAGAAATTATACAATTAAAATTATGAAATTGTAATTTATGAAATAAAGAACAATTATGATCTAAAGGGTATCAAAATTTACAAAAGAAAGCTTAATATTTGTTTACTTTATTAAACATTTCGTTCAAATGCAAGTTGTTTAAGATGCTCCCACAAAAAATTCAAAAAGTTCCTTTTTCTTTTTTGTGTCATATACAGTGGACTTTCCAATGCCATACTCCTCACATAATTTTAAGACGAATATGCCTGTATGCATTTTTTGCAGCAATTCCACATTTTGTTTAATGGACTTCTAAACATGATGTTTTCGCTTTGTAGATCCCTTTTGTAACTCCAGAATTGGAAACTCTTTTCGACATAATCGAAAGTTCAAGCTTAGTTTTTATAAAATTTCTGTAATAATAACAGTCTGCGAAAATTAATAAACTGGGTCAAATTAGAAGGTCAGGGAGCAGCGCAGTCTGCTACATTAATTTAAAATGCCTTAGAATCAGTAATGATAATTTTAGCCTAACTTAATAGCGTGTGTTATACGTTATTGGCTATGTATCACAAGATTGGCAACGAAACCCAAGTGGTTTCGCTAAATTTTGTCTTGCTCCTATAGCGTTCTGAATTAAGCCTGAATTGTAATAGTTTAGTTTTTTACTATACCTACGTTTATTTCTTGCACATGCTTCAAACTAATATGAGTCCTGAATAAATAAACTCCCACATATATACTTAAGGCTTTATCTAGGGCTGGCGCTTGAAACCGCCTGGTATCGCCTCTACAGGTCCTAAATTCTGCTGCAAAGCGCTTTTGTAAGTTCTAAATTTTAACCATGCATGCCTAAACTTTGGATCCCAGTGCTTTCCCTAAATCATAAATACTTCTCATCCCTTAATTTTGACACTCGGTGCTTTCCCAAATTCCAAAAATTTCAACTTCCCTAAATTCTGCTCGAGCCGACATATAACCGCCGCTCGGTTTATGGAATACATATCGTATCTTAATTAAAATAGCCAAATCTGGCCTATGAGTTATTAACAAATATTTTAGAATGAAAGAATTTTTTGATTTCTTTCACTTTTTAGAGCATTTAAAACCTATAATCATTGCCAAGCATAATGTTAGCATAAAAGGTTGCCATACTCTTGTTATTCAATTACTAATGTAAAAAAGAAGTTTAGACATCACTACATGAGTCATTACTGAAGCTGTCATATATTGATAAACATGAGGTGATGAAAGCAAAATATAATAAATAATGACTCGCCAGGTCGGCGTCAGGGATATAAAATAGGTGAATGTTTCGGTTTGAGATATATGGCAAGATACTCAGCTACGGAGCCAGATTATTAATTTCAAAAATTGATGCTTACACGATTGTTTTTCCCATAAAAAAGGATTTTATTTAGTGCCTAAGTGAAATTAAGAATCAGAATTTTTAAGTGAAAATCATGTTTTATTATGGAAGTAAAAGTCAAATGTGCATGCATAAAGCATACAAAACAAAGTTTGTGGCTTTGAGGTCCGGATTTTAGATCATTCCGGAGAATGGATGTCCAGATTTCGGACTTTGTACTGTATATGGTTCCTTCATTACAACAATGTATCTTGTGCTACATTGTAACATATCACTATGTAAATTTGGCTATTAATAACACAGCAGTTCCCCATATACTGAACAGCTATAACTGAGGTCCATGTGATTTCTCCCACACCTCAAGCTGACTACTCATCTCCAAGGCCATTATTTGGAAGCAGATGATGATAACTAGGCAGTTGCAACACAGGGTTTGCACAACAAATCAAATGAAGACTGCTTCCACTGCCATGAAGAATTGTCATTAATGCTAGACTTGCTGTACTCAACCACACGGAGTTTGTTTTGAAGGTGATAAACTGTAATTGCATGTATGTAGAATTTAAAAGATTTTCTCCTTATATTCAAAATAAACTGCATATCTGCATTTCCAGACTAACAAAGTGAGTTACATAATTATAATAATAATAATAATAAACTTAAATAATCCATTATACCTGTGTTATTTGGTTTCTGAAGCTGGTCTTCAGAACAAATTTCTCTCAAATCTATGTTGACTGGATTAATGGTACACTTTGTCAGATCTTCACACAAATATCCATTCAGATCTTCAGAATTATTTCTGCGGGGAAAAAAAAGAAAAAAATTATAGTACTTGCCTCATTCAAAGATTGATTTCTTCATCTCGTGACATATTTTGTATAGCAGTGTTTCCCAAAGTATAAGCCACAGAAAAATTCAAGCTGGTAGAAACTTTAGAAGTACTTTTTTTATTGCATAGTTATATATATTTTCATGTCATTATGGATTTATAATTATTAATTGATTGTTAATAGTATATTTATTTATCATTAATTCATAATTACAGCGTTTTCTTCTTTTTTAAGAATAAATATATGCATGTGAGTCATGAGGTTAAAATCTTTGAGAAACACCGTTGTAAAATTATATGTAAATAAATTATATGTTAGATATTTCACCAATCACATATGTTAAACTTCAGCAATATGACTTCTTGCTTCCACCTATCAAATGACAATAAATACTATGCTTATTTCCCCAAGTAAAGTAAAATTTGGTGTTAATCTTTTAAGAACTGACACAAAAATCATGCAAATGTGTAGCTAATTATTCATAAATATATTTGTAAACAAATGCATACTTTGGAAAATATATATTAGAGATAACGGAACATATAACATAAAAATTTAATTTCTAAATCTCTTATCTCATTTTTATTAGGACATTCAATCTCTATTTTACATCTAAGTTTACCACATACTATGCCAGTTTTATTTTGACTAAAATTAAACATGGAACCATTAATGGTCAGCCTCTTTGCGAAAATGTTTCATCTAAGAAAAACATTTCTCACTGTTGTATAATTATGCTTGACATTTCGTCTTCTAATTGTCAGAAATGTATGAAAATTCTTGGCAGGAGTTTATGAGGCACCAGATCTTCCAAGTCCATAAAGGCGGATATAATTAACAGCCAATTTAGTAATAACATCCTCTAGTAACAAAATTAAGAACCGTATACTTGCTTGCAAAACTTCAAACCAAAATCTTTTTACTTCTCATGCCTGTATTCTTGAATGTAATTTATAACCTGCTCTCTTTCTTCCTTCTATCACTACACATAATACTTAGAATATGAAAAATAAATTCTTGTAATTAATGCAATCGATGCACCTATCTCTTTTGTCAATCCACCTGCATTTTGCTTTGCTTCCATATTGTTATGCTTAAACAGAAATTAATTGCATAAATTATGCATATGAATGATAATCAGTTAAATAATTATTTTCAGAATTCACAATGTATGTGGAACTTCTAGCAAAAAATGAGACTTATAAATAGATTACTTTGATTGATTTTCTAAGATTATTTTTAAATTTTAAACTTAATTTGCATTAACTTTTAACTTTAAATTTGCATCTTTGTTGGTTCAGGAACAGCCTGTTTCATTTTTTTATTAGCCCAAAGGCATTTTTTTATTAGCCCAAAGGGTATAAGCCCAGAAGGGCTATTAATTTCATTTCGGCATTTTGCGTTGATTCACTATAAACATATTTTATACATTTATTAGTCATTATTTAAACAGTGAATCACTTTTTCAATTGTTGCCACCAAATATTAGAGCCCTGTATTATATTTAAAAAAATTAAATGATGAGGAACATGCATAAATGTATATATGTTTCTCGCATTGTGATAAAACAACTGTACCTAAAACCATCCAATTTTGAATAATGTACATCTCCACCTGAATATGGGCATCTGGAAACCTAAATTTGGAATTTGTTTTATTATCTATTTCATATTTTGCAAAGCATTTTGATTAAGAAACTTGATGATTTCAAAGCGATCAGTGGCAACACTGTATGTGTGAGGGGAAGGGAATATTTTTGTATCCAGCTTGCGAGACTGTGTGTCGGAAGTTCTAAAGATATGCTCCTTTAAATATTTTGTGATACTGCTGTTGAATCGAAGTTTATGGTTTCAGTGCAAAGAACATAATATTTAATAAATAAAGGTAACACACAGAATGTTAAAAGAATGCCCCTTTGGGCATAATATAAAATCTGAAAGCTTTCAGGTTTTTTTTTATTATTTACTTTTTTGTTGCACCAACCTTCCGATGAAAATGCAGTGAAAGATGCAAATTTCATTTTCATTTTAGTATTTTGACATATTCCCCCCTCCGCCATATCTTGCAATTTGCCACTATGCTTCTGGTTTTTGGTTTTTGCATGTGGTTTATTCTGAATTGAACATAGAATGAATTTGATACATACTTTTTATTTTATCTTGCAATATATATAGTTTGAAAAGAATATAGTAAAGTTAAATTAAATTTAAATAATTATCTTGTGCCATTGCTGCAAGGAATGAAATTTGAATTTAACAAATATTTTGCATTTATCTAATCTCTTGTAACACTTGCAACCTTAAATAGCCTTAATATTAGAATTAACAACCACAGAATACATATTAAAAAATTCACTACTACTAATTTTAACTCACCTAATACAGCAGAATTAGAACATTTAGAAATACATGATTTCAGCAAAATTAGTATTCAAATTTTGGACATTGTGCCTGAATACAAAGAAAGATTATTTCAAGAGTCCCTCTACATGCTTAAGTTTAAAACACTTTACCCATATGGACTAAATACTTTCAACCAACACATTAAATTAAATTCTGAAATTCCAACCTACAGCCATTTTAAATTGCTCAGTAAAAAAACATTACGAGGAACCAGAGCAGGTAATAGACAGAAATATAATTTTTTTGACAATAGATACAGTAAAGTTAAATGGTAATATTAATAATTACTTTCTTACTGAAAATTTCACCAAAAATATCATTACTTGGTTACATACTTGTAAGCACAAATTCTTAATGATACTTATAAAATTTGTTAAACAGCATTTTACCGGACACAATATTATCAAAGACCTTGTTATAGATTTTTGAAATTTTAAATTCAATACCAATGACAAGTACAATAAATATTACTGCAAAATTCCTTCATCCAAACTATGATTATATTCAGTTCAGCAAAATTTTCAGAAAATGTCAACAACAATTTCCAGCTACTAAAGTACAGACAAAAGTCGTTAATCCGGACTCGTCGGGACTTCGTCAATTCCGGATTATAGATCATCAGTTTAAATCTGGTAAGATGGCATGCAGAAATTACAAAATTAAAAATATGAAACCATAATTTATGAAATAAAGAACAATTATGATCTAAAGGGTATCAAAATTTACAAAAAGAAAAAGCTTAATATTTATTTGTTTACGTTATTAAACATTTTTTCAATGTAAGTTGTTTAAGTTGCTTCGTTTCATGTGATAATACTTTCTCTTTAATTCTATTAAACAGACATAATTTCTTTTTAGTTACAAAGTTCCGCTGTTCAAGTCCTATAATTGCTGTGTTGAGAATACCGACTAATTTGTCAATCGAAATTTTTTTGTTTTCAATAACCTCTGTCACTTTCTTCACTATCGGAAGCGAATTATAATGACAAGGAATTTGTTTTAAATCATATCAAAGATGGAGTACATCGAGATGAAATACTACATTTGGTAAGGAATTGTAAACACAACGTATTAATCTTATTTAAAATGTATTTTCACAATTGGCAACAACAGTATTTTTTTTTTTTTTTCAGAATGATAATATTTTTGATCACGATTGGCAACAACAGTTTTTTTTTTTTTTTTTTTTTTTTTTCAGAACGATAATATTTTTGAACTGTAAGTTTTTGAGCAGTAATGTTGACGGTAATGTTTCTGAATAAAGCAAGTATTTAACAATTAATGTTTTGACGGAATGTGTTTTTAATAAAGGAACTAATTAAATGCTAACATTTCAGAAGTGGGATAAACTAGAATTATTATCTAGATTTAACAACGTATTGCCTTAACGTACGCTAAGCCTAAACTGAATGTGGAAACTCGCCAAAACTGAAAGTAGAAAGGTACGTGAATTTATAAACTGTTTATGTTATGTCTAAGTATTAAACGGAAAGAACTTAAGTATAATTATTGTATTAGTATTTGAAAATTGAAGTCTAAGATGGCTTATTTGGCAAGAGGCAAAAAATGTGATTTAAAAGAACTTGCTTTGGAACTTGATGTAGATGTCCCTTCTGATATTAAAATTGTAGGCTTAAGAGATATGATTTTGAATAGTAAGAATTATAATGAAGACTTTACTAAACAAATGCTAGATAGAATTATAAATGATCGTTTAGACAGGGAAAAGTTAGAAATTTTAGAAAAAGATAAGCAAAGAGCATTTGAAATGGAAATTATAGAAAGAGATAAGCAAAAAACTTTTGAACTTGAAAAATTGAAAATAGAAGCGGAAATCAGAAGTAGTAATGTAAATGATTCTGTTTCTTCTAATGTTAGTAGAAGTAATATTTGTGATATGAGTAAATTAATGCATAAGTATGATTTGAATGAAGGTGATATAAGTTTTTATTTAGTTTTATTTGAGAGACAGGCACGACGTATTGGGTTAGAAGAACAAAACTGGGTTTCTCAGCTGTTGGGTCTATTGCCTTATGAAATAACTCAATGAATTGCCTGTGAATCAGAAGAGAAAGCTAACGACTATAAGCACGTTAAACAACTGCTACTGAGAAGATTTAAGTTAAGCCCTGAACAGTTTCGGCAAAAGTTCGTTAATCATATTAAAACATTGCGTAATATGTAGAAGGACTTCATGTTTGAATTAAAAAATTATTTTGAAGAGTGGCTTGCTGGATTAAATGTAACAGATTTTGACTCTTTAAAACAACTTATTATTACTGATCAATTAAAGAAGAGGGTCCCCGCTGCTATCCGAGACCATTTCATTGATGATTGGTCTAAATTCATTAATCCTGAAGAGTTGGCTGAAAAACTAGATCAATATGAAAATATTCGGGCAGGGATAAAAGTACTTCAAGTAGAAAATAAAACTTTTAGGCATAATTTTAAGCCCAAATCTCGTTCTAAATTTTATGAAGGATCCTATAATCAGTATTCAAGACAAAGAAATGTTAAAGGTTCCATGCAGACAGATGGTAATTTCAAAGTGGATTTTAAAAACAGTT